ATAGCACGTGTCCCAAGGAACAATTATGTTTATGTGTTTTCCAACAAGTTGTAGGCCCATTGTGGGACCTACTTATCTCAGTTACACCACAATGCAGGTTGGGTTAAATAAGAGGTGGCGATATTGTGCTGGAGAGTGACGTATTATTACCAAAAAGGTGCAATAGTCTTGCTGAAGAACTACTCAATGAGACTAAACTATCCAAAAAATACGATATCATTTTGTATTCAGTAAGATCCACCTATACTGTATATTATTTTCTATCAGATATACAATATTCTAGCAAGTTACCAAATGAGAAAGAATCAAGTACACTATTCAGTAATACTTTTAAAGTCATATATCTCTAAAAATGGGAGCTATTGCCGAGTACTGATAAAAAATTGTAATGCGTAGGCGTTGTTGGCAGTATTCTTTCCGATAACTTTTCTCTACAATAGTGTGATTCTCAACTCCGTAAGTCTGTGGCTCAATGCATAGTATAGGCGACAAGGTCTATCTTCGGTATAAGGTAGCCACTCTGAGAAAAAGCTACGACCGTGTATAACAAAAAATTAAATCAAACAAGTCAGTTAAACAGCCCTATATAGTTAGTCCGTAGTCTCCACTCATTTGAAAACGTTACGATCTAGAAATTCCACGCACAAGGCATACTGAATTCAAACACCGGTCGGTGTTGATGAAAATTCTCAGTGTTCGTATGGGTTTTGTTGATCAAATGTTCCAATGGGCGCAAATCCCGAAAATGCTTCTTTTTTGATATACTGATGCCTTATCTCCTATGGGGATGCATGCCCGTACAATTTTACGTAAACTCGTCTTCAATGTACCCAGGGACTTAACGATATAATAAAAAGCATGTGAACGCATACAACATACATATGCACAGAAATATTTCATATTCAAAAATAATTAACTGACATTTCATTAAAACCGCCCTACACTAATTCCCTCGCGCAGTTTCTAGTCCCTCAAGGTATAGAAATTTTCTAGGGGAGTCGCGGTCGTGATAACTGTTACTAAATAATATATCAGCTATACATAGCTTAAAGACTATACGCCAGTTTGAAATGGGAGAAAACATCCTTAAAGTTCCAAAATCAGAAATCAGGATGAACCATATGAGAAGAATAACTACCAATATACGAAGTTTTATCAATTGATCGGTGGTCGAATTCTACGTTTTTTGTGTGATGCTTTCCTATCTACCCTATCCATGGACCCAACCATCTGGAAACGTTGCTATGATTAACCTTGCCACCCATCGGTCAGACATCGATCAGCTCGCGAGGCACTTATAGCCAGAGACGCGTGTTTGAAAATATTTCACGTTTCTCACGTTAAGAAATTGAGATATGCACTTAGCAACCTCCACAACTCCCAACATCCAATTCTTAGCCTCTTCGAAAGTTGTCTTGAGAATGATCAGGAGTCTCTGAAACGTCAAACCAAGGGAAGTTTGATCAGTTTTTAGTTTATCTGTTTGCGTTAAAGTTTCATCAAAATCCCATGTCTCATAAGATCAAAAAAAAAAATAACATATTCTGGAAATTTTTCGCGATCACAATACTTCCTCGCCAGTGGCGTGGGAAGTAAAATAGGCAGTTGAATACACAGCACTCCCAACTCACACAACCTCAAGCCAATGTTGTCGCTTAAGCTCCCCATGTTGCTCGAGTTGTATATAACGCATGATAGCATACCGTATATTTGCTTCTCATCTCTTCAGAGACACAAGACTGTTCTAGAACCTCCTGTACTTGCAGCAATATAATTACAACCGACACTTAGTCGAAACGACTGTGAATCTGCGTGTGAGATCTAGAACTAGCAGCGACTCTTGCAATAATTAGTAATACGTTACTGCATAATATGTCAATTGAATACAGGTGGCGTGATTAAAAAGTGATTCTAAATAAGCGCATTTGACAGGAAAGAAACTGGCTAATTACGAGTGTGGTCAGATTCCGGCATTTTTTTGCGATGTATCTAAGGCGCAGTAGAAAATGGGATGAGGAAGATGTTTTGCGACGTTGGTGATTAATAAAATAATTGGATGCATTTCAGTTGCATAATTCATCTTAAATGATCACTAGTATTAGATAGGGATACACAACGTTAGTCAAGGAAGCAAACACATACGGAACAGTATGTTGCAGGAAACATTTAGATCGATTCAGAGGTACCAATTGAATTACACATACAAACTCTGAACCTTTATTTTTTTTCATTCTTCAGCAAATTGACAGATGCATCCAAGAGTCGTTAAAAAAGTAACTAGTGATATATGCAACTTGATAAATGAGAGTAAGATTCATGATCCCAGGACTCTAAAAAATTGTTATGCTTTAGCTCCCTCAGAAAACCTTGGCATTATTGAGATTCGACTTTACTATCTAAGACACGAGCTCAGTGCTCAAATTGTTCCAATCCAAAGGCATTATAAAGAATTGGAGCTAATATGTACATATAGACTTTGCCCCTAATTCTCATACCAAATCGAGAAATACTTCACATATTACCTCTTTTAGCTTCAAAAACCTATTCTTTTTCATTTGATTCCGGAGCCAAAAGCGTCTAGGGCAAAAATTCAACCAATCAGAGAGAGGGGTTTGCGACCTAGTCGCTACTCCGACCAACCAAAAAGAAGGATTTGCGCCCTGGTCAAAGCGAAATCTAAATTGATATTACAGCAATTACCGAGCATTTTATTGAAAATAGCAGTGTCACTTTTTAGCTGACAAAAGATAATTTTAAGAACAGATGATATGTTGACAATTCATCAAGTTGCTGTATTATGTAGTTTGTAGAGATAAACCCCCGCTTTAGTTTGCACACTATATGTGACTGGGCGATACTTATTTAAGCGACAACTATTTGCAATTGCCCTATTTATAATAAAGGTATGCATGTAACATATCTACGTTTCTTCGTTAATACGTTATATTATAGAGCACTTAATTTTATATTAATCAACTTATGTACTCCGTTTTACTAGGGATTTGCAATATAAAGTTGCAATGTCTCCTGTATGTCCGCTGGCTCGTACATCGACGATTTAGTTTGACTGCTACTCGTACAATAAATAGAGTCGATAACCATATAGGAAAAGATCCCTACCTTTCGCTGATGCCTATTCAACTTAAAAACAGATGTTGCTACCAGGATTATTTTCCTTGTTCTGTCATTATCCTCAACAGAAAGAGAAAAATATGCTTACAATGGAAGTTAATATAAGAGTTGCTGAAGTCACTTATTTAACAACATATATATCCCTTTTATCATTTTGCTAGGATTTTTTTGTTTGTTTCCAATTTGGTTATATTATTGAAAAATTAGGTATGATACTTGTTTCCGATTGGCCGGATTTCTTCTTGATTGGTCGAATTTGCCATAGTCGGAAATTTTTGGCCCGGGATTATATGAAAAAATATGTTTTTGTACCTAAACCAGATTTACTAAGTAGTTCTTGATTTGATACGGGCATTATGGATACAAAAATTTCTCTAGTTTGAGATATTTTAGATGAAATCGACTATATTCATTAGACCAATCGCTACAAAATCTGATTTGTCGAATTTCCGCACTAGACACAAATTCTGATCGTGCACTACTTTTTGTCGAAACTTGGCAGAACAACAAGCAACTACTGAATCATCTATCCTTAACAAGAAAGAGCCCTAGAATCAAAACTGTATTCATAAAAACCAGGACAACCTAGATATACTCTATTCCAAATAAAAGTATCACTATCACAGTTGCTGGAATTATCGTCTATAAACCCTGTGTGTGCTTAGTAGCGGGCCTTGAGCGCCATCGAGCCTGTTATTAAGTTGTTAGCATAATTGCACTGTTATGAAAAGCTCACAGTAGGTCACTGGTTACTGTAGTTAATTCCTTTCATTCTTTTTTCCAGCTAAAAATAACGTAAATGTTCAGGATTGCTAACTAGAGACACGAGCGGTTTGTTTGTACTTACGGAAGCTTTTTTTGCGATTGAAAACATATACAATTAAGTAGTACGGCGTGACAAGCATCTTAAAGTGCTAAAATCCGGAACTGAGACATACATGTCTTGGACAAATTCATGAAATGGGCCGGTTTGTAGAAAAATTATACGCGGCAAGTCTGGGTACGAGCAATCCTGCGAAAAACCGAGCATCTGCAATTGAAATTAATTATTACTTTTTATGTGCTCATTATGATAGGCGTATAGATAAAACACAGCTAACCTTTGATAGAGAAACCGCAAAAAGGGTGGTAAAGCATAAATATCCAGGAGTTTGCGTAGACTCCGAAATTAACCCAAAAATAAATCTGAAGAAGAAACAGGGCAGCATTTATAAAACATAAACTGCTAGTGTATGATGACAATACGAATATCCAAATTAGACTGAGGTTATGTTATGTCGTGTCCTAGCTGCTATATGGAGTCGAAAAGTGAGCGCCGGGCTTGAGCCCTGGATATAGGAAACGGATGTTGAATATCTATGGACTGCCAGAGTCATTAACGAGGAGATGCTAGCATGTATAGGGCAAGGCAAATAAATACTACGCAGAACTGAAATAACCAAGATATCAAGATATCATACCTGGTAGTATACTGTACTAGGAAAATCTATTGGATGTTATCATGGAGGATAGAGTAGATGGAAAGGAAAGAATGTGGAGAAATAATCAAGAATGGAGAAAAATCGATGTGGAAGAAGTACTCTACTCGTATGCTGCTGAAAATGGAGAACTTTTTAATTAATGTCTTCGTAGACCTCCGGTGATGAAAAGGGTATAGAAAGAAGAAAAATAATATTCTGAAAGCTTGCTACTTGCTTGGGTATCAAACGATTGAGTTTTTACCAAGGGCATCAACATTTACTCTCGATCTTTCACATTACGACGAATATTGACGTGATTTCCCGTGCAGCGTATAATATGAGTTTATTAAGGTTTTCTTGAAGCTGTAGCATCTCTTCATCAGGGTTTCATTAGCATTGTGTTTATTGTGTTCTACAAGAGCTCTATTCTGATTCGTAATGTGGAATTTGATGTACAGCACATTGGTAACAAAATATTTAACAGTTACTGTTCAGAACACTAGTCAAGCAATGCTCATGCCCTTTCTTCTTTCAGCTTGTTCATCGTATGAAATAAGGCGCAGACGAAGACGGCCATGTTTTTGTACAATCCATTTTCCCACAATATAGTTGGTAATCTTGTAGATAATCATGTATGCACAGGCGCCACTGAAACATACTATTATGCCTGTAATGGATAATAATTATAAGGTGAAGGAAATATTTGCGTAATGCGAAATTATAACGGCTGTGACATTTGTAATAATAGATTTACTGATAACTGCCCGCCCACTGAATATACCTTTGCATAGATTTGTATGTAGATCTTTTCCAGATATCTCAACATGCCTTTTTTGTAGCTTCAGAAATATATCCTGCACTTATCTTTCTTTTTAATGGTGCATATCTCAACCAAGTGTTTAAACAGGAAACTAAATGCGCTTAGTGAAGATATACAATGTTTATTTCAGAAATAAAATTAAAATTTGTTTTGAAAACTTTGCCTGGAGTTATTTCTTACGTGCTACTCCTATCGGAAGTCGGCTACCAAAACTTCATTAGCTGCAAGTCTGAAAGGTAAGTAGACCATTCACGTAGGTTGCGCAACCATGGCATGTTTCTTCTTCCTAAGCTCCTTTTGCCTTTAGTTTTTCCTTACATAATGTTTTCTAATATCCTGGTATTTTTGCCCCTGTTGAAGTGTCCTAAATACTCCCACTTTATAACTTTCATTTTAATAACTAGTTCACAGTTTTTCTATAGTCTTTTCATTTTCATTTATGATATGGTCCATCCGTCATATTTTCGGAATGCATCGGTAGCAATATTATTCAGATGCTTCAATATTTTTTAGCTTCACAGATTAATCATTGTCTACCCTTTTATCTCTATAGAGCTGGTTAAGTATGGCATGACATTGTCTAGAGCAGTATTTCTCAAAGTACGGGATATCGCCCCTTGTGGGTGTTGGAGACCTATGGAGGGTAGCAAAGAGCCTAATGAAAATTGGGAGGCGTTGAGATGAGTCATAAGAACTGTGAACTGCTGCCAATCATCTGTACAGTGAACGGCTTCTCCCAAGAATCCCGTTCGTAACATCTTCCAATAATTCCTGGTTTTACAAAATTCCCCTATATTTTTTCTAATGCATCATAATTCCCCATATCTGTCTGGCCGAACCAAATTAACGTATGCTTTAAATTCCTCTTTGTTCCGGTCCCAACTGCGGGTCCCATCGTTGATCTTCTTCAAGTCCAATTGACCCGTTTTTCTCGATATATTTTATTTATCTGTCTTCCAGGTGACGTTTTTCCCTTTCATTTTCACATTCATATACACTGCGTTACTAAAATAGTCTAATAGTCTGAAAGGTCCGGTAACATGCTGAGATTGTGCGAAGCCACCAAACCAATCTTAAGATGTCACCAGCAACAGGACCGTTTGATGTAAGCATTTCCCTTTCCAAAGGGACATCCAGTTCCTCAAAGCTTGAAATTGCCATGTAGTTATTTGTCATTTTTTAATGTACCAGACACGTCAACCTCGTCCATCGTCCCGAAAACGCCAAAAAGTACCTCCAACCCTCCACTCTAATCTAGTACGAGTAGAATAATGGAATATTCTCAAGCAATTTATAATTCGTATTGTCATCTATGTACACACCATAAATCAATCAAAAGACAAGTATTGTGAGTACTCCTTCAACCAGACTGTTGAAAAAGAGATGTGCGACCCTAAGAACTCCAACCATTTTTGATAAATCAAGACAGTGGAATAACAGTAGTAAAAACAGCAAAACATAAGAGCTTTAGTATTTGCGGAACCTGTCAGAAATAATTAGGAAGCATCAAGCAAACCAGAAGTATGAATGGAGGCTCATGGCTTGTGACGGCTGCGTGCGCGTTAGAAGCGCTGAATCTAATGGGCAAAATCTGGGTTGACATGTCGGCGAACGGGAAATAATTATACAGAACATGCAAAGTAGATCTTCTATACTGTGTCTGCCTTATTATCTGAAATCATAGAGCGAACGTAGCCCGGAGACCTGAACGAAGAAGACCATTCCGGATACCTGGGGCTAGGGAGAAGTTCAACGGTAGATCTTAATCGAGATCGCGAGTCATGGTCGTTCGGAATAATTGATAGAAACGTTATTCTTTGATTTTATATCGGTTATTCTTTCCGTAATTTCCGGTTAACCTGCATGTTGCAAGATCAACTTGCATTCTTCCATATTGTAACAGTTTTAGGCCCGATTTTACTATCGACCCACGGGAATCAAAATTTGCGCATTTGGTACAAATGGGACCAATGAGAAGTCGCCTTTGAAGTAATGGATCTAATTGATTCGATATTTTGTAAAATGTCTCCCAAACTAGAGAGATATACGATTTATACGATTGATTGATGGATAGGCTCCTAGTTCTCATACTAAATCAAGAAATACTTCACATGATTCAGCTACAAAAACCTATTTTTCATTTATATCCGGACACAAAAATTGACACAAATTACACCAAAATGAAGTCGCATTTTCCACAAGTCAAGAGGAAGGATTTGTCTTCTACTGAAAACATGGATCAAATCTGATCCAATAGATAGGCCATGACGCCATTGCTGAGCATATTATTTAAAATAAGTGTCTCACTGAGAAAAGGCCTGTTACTTTTAATAGGTGGATGTCGCGCGCTCGCAAGAGTAGAAGTAGTCGTCCCACTGCTCAATAGAGGACTCGAGAGCTCCTTGTTAATCGGGGTTGCTTAAGTAAATTGAATACATACTCGATGTCTGTTAAATAACAAGCATTCTGTAATTTTATTTATGTCTTTAAGGGATCTGTCAAGCAGAATTCTGTATAGCAACAGGGATGCAATGTTATTTTCAATAAAATACTCAATTAATTACCGTCATATCAATTTAGATATTGTATCAGATTTATGAGCATTAGAAAGGAAAATGGTTGGTGAACCACAGGACGCAGGTTCGAATCCACAAAGTTTCCTTTCTTCTATTTTTTTTTTCAAATTCGGTATAATAAATGCTTTTTCACAATAAAGCTAGCTTCGCAGATGACACTGCCCTTTTAATCGCTGGTAGTTCATGGCTTGATGCTTTTACTAAAGCTGAACTAGACTTACACAAAATAAAATGCTGGTTGGACATAAATCAACTGACTCTAAATATTGAAAAGACAAAATTTATATCTTTTTCTATGACCAGAAGGGACATGCCTAATAAAGTGTATATTCCCTTACATAACTCTTCATGTAGCGTTCAATTAAATTGTAACTGTCATTTAAAAATACAATCCTGTGACAATATTAAATATTTGGGTGTCTATTTTGATAGATTCTTAAGATGGGATATACATGTTGACTACATCAGCAAAAAAGTTAGGAAATTAGTGTACAAATTTTCGCAACTAAGGAATGTCTTAACCTTTAAGTTAACGAAAATAGTGTATTTTTCACTAGCGGAATCTATTTTAAATTATGGCATTTTGTGCTGGGGTTCAGCATGTGAATCCCTTTTACAACCATTAAAAGTGGCTCAAAAATTTTTATTAAAAATTTTGTTATTTAAACCTAAAATGTATTCTACCGATCTTCTTTTTTCTCAAACAGAATTTCTAAACTTAAGGCAACTTTACTGTGTAAGAGTTATTCAATTTTCTTTAAAGTATGGGATCTTTCATGAGAGAGTTAACCACCCGATACAAACCAGGGCAGTAACTGAATCGAGATTCTGTTCTTCTCTGCAGAGTTTTTCTTTTACTCAGAGAAATATTTCTTTTACAGGTCCCATATTGTTAAATCTATTACCGCTTCTCATAAGGAATAAACGAATTATTACAAAATCCATTAAAAACAAAATTAGATACTGGGTAAAAACTAATTATATACTTATTACAAAAAAAATAGTATGGTTCTCTGAGTAAACGAATACCTGTATCTGCGCTGCTACATGTGTAATATATAGCTTTACTACATTAGATAGTGCGTATATATCATTTATATTAATTTTGTAGTGTAGCTTTTTCTACTGTTGTAGTTTTTGATAAAGAAATTAAATGTTAAATGTTATTCGGGGATACACACAAATTTTAAAATTCATCGTATCCTCGTCTAACATTTCTAGAGCTTGTCAATGTAATAATTATTTGAATAAATTATTTGAATTTGAATTTGAATTTGAATAAGCATTCTGTAATATAATTCATGAAAATAATTTATCAAGCCGAATTTGGTACAGCAACAGTGAGTCACTGCTATTTTCAATAAAATTCAATCTTAATTGCTGGTGTATCAATTTAGATATTATATCATATTTGTATCCATGCTTCGAGTATGTCTTCATTTGTGCATTTTTTGACTATTGCTAACTTAGTGCCGGGACGCAGATGAAAAAATAAGTTTTTGTAGCTAAACCTAGTGATTTATGACGTATTTCTTGATTTAATATGGGACTTGGGGACTCATCTTTTACACTAACCGTATATTTATTTTCTAGATTGAGGGACATTTTGCAAGGAATGGCCCATATTCATTAGGTCCATTACTTTAAAGACCTCACTGATTGATTTTCTCACCAACGTACTTTTTGCACGGAGACTTAGTCAAATCGCCTTAGGCTGCGTACAGACCAAGATTCCAGCGCAAGCCAAGGCACATGTGGTTACAGATTTGGAGGTGTTTGACTCGGTGTGTACGGCGCGAGCCAGCATAAGCAAACCGTTTTCAAGGTCGGCGTTGGTGTTCGCTAGCCTTCGCTCCTTGAACGGTACATCAAAGGGAGGTTTGATTTGGCCTGGACAGGATTTGTTGCGCTTCTAGTATTTAGCCGTTTGTCTGCATTCGATGAGAGTAGACTCCTTGCTGACATTAGCACCGAACATAACCCGACGCGGTCCAACTCGAAACTAAATTTAGGTGTAGACGACGTGTAGACGAGCGCATTCCAATACCTTCCAAAAACAAACGCCAACGTCACATGTGCTTGCATTCGTTTGCTCGGCGTTGGATTTTCGGTCTGTACGTGGCTTTAGGAAACCAAATAAAGTTGCTAGTCCACTAAGGTGAAGCGACCCGAATAAAACTGCAACGAATGCGTCAGTTACATGCGTCAATTGCGCAGACTCTGATTTTGAGTATAAGAACCCAACGGAATAGTTTCGCTTCTCGTCCCTCC